AATATTAATATTTCTGTAGCAGAATGCATGACTATACCTGCTAAGTGGGATAAATGAAGATGATAATTAGCTTCTTATGAGTTCAGATCAGATCAGTGATGATTTATAAAGGATTATAAACCTGTATTTAGGATGTAATACTAGGAACAAGAATTTTCATGGAAAATGTACAAGAATATAGTTGTAATACCTTGTCATCCTTTTTATCACCATTCTCACAAACAATTCTATGGTGAATTGGAGATTAATCAGGGTCAGACTGGCCACAATCTAATCTGGAAAAGTTATTTTCCTGAATATCCGCTACTAAACAGTTTTGGCTTTTAACACGTTTGAGAATGTATCTAATTTACATTGAACTGCATCTGTTGCATTAGCCTGACTTTGAAACAAATTATATGTAGTACAGTAAAATTACTAAAAGTGTTCAGGATTATCTAGGTTCAATATTATGCTGACTAGCTCTTGAAGTTCAACCCCCGTTAGGAAACCTATTGAGAGAAAAAGAGAGAAACCTAAAATCTCATAGTTGAAAAACTCTCATTCTTTCAGATTTTCCCGTGATCATTTATGGTTTAGAATGGACGTCATGGACTCCTCCTTCCGTTATGATTAAGTAGCTGCTACTGGATCTGACTGTCCCACAGATAAAAGTTATAAATACTGAACCAAAAAAATATAATGACCTGGATGCAACTTGAAGGGTTCCTACTGGCCAAAGATGGAACTATTTGAGCTTCGATCATAATAAAAAGGCAATGAATCAAAGCCAATCAAATGTGTTTACATCCATAAGTCCATCACTTTCTAACAATTGGTAAATAAAAAGATAGCATCAAACTTTTGTTCTGTCTTTCCTAAAAGAACTGTAACATTGCATAACCAAATGATAGATATCAGAAAGTTCTTTTTGTTAATGTATTTAATCTAATAAATGTGAAAGAAATTAAAACATCACCATTTTTGCAACCCCCAGTGAACTAGCATATCTATCAGCATTAAGCATCCATGGCGGTGACTATCACAAATTAAGTCAGAGGAACATGGTCTATTTTCATAACTAGAGCTATTATTTTAGCACAAGACAGATTGTCTCTTCTCTCTGATCAATATCCACAACTGCTCCTCATTTTACCAAAAGTGAAATTCAACATCCTTACAAACACCTGCAAGGACCTGTAAGATCTGTCCTTGAATCGGCTCCTTATCTCATTTCTGTCTGTTCCACTTCTGTTACAGTAAATACTTCCCGTTCCTTTGACACTCAAAATGTGCCCCTGATTCAAAGCCTTTGCACTGACTGTACCAGCTGCCGGAGTCCTCTTTTCCCTGATAGTCAGCTCACTTCCACACCTCTTTCAAGTCTTTGCACAAAAGTCATCTTCTCAATGGAAGTATGGAGCCATCCCATTTGAAGTTGCATCCAGTTCTTTTTTTCCCTCATGCCACATGCACATGACTTCTGACCCTGCCCGATATGGTATTAAAGGTTCCAATCATTAATATACTGTTATGAGTTGAACTGTCCTCCTGCCTAAAAAAGTACTGAAATCTTAGTCTCCAAAACCTCAGAATGTGACCTTATTTGAAAATAAATTCATGGCAGGTATTATTAGTTCCGCTAAGACGATGTTCTACTAAAGTGTAGGTGGGTTTGGGGAAGAATCCAATACAATTGGTGTCTTTGTAAGAAAAGAGATACTGGAACACAGAGACACGGGGAGAACATCATACGACAAGGCAGAAGGTGGAGTTATGCAGCTGCAAGGAACACCAAAGATTGCCAGCTAGCCACAGAAGCCAGAAAAGGGCAAGGAAGGACTCTCCTCTAGGTTTCAGATGGAGCATGGTCCTGCAGACACACTGATTTCAGACTTCTAGTCTCTAGAACTGTGAGACAATAAATGTCTGTTGTTTTAAGCCACCCAGTTTGTGGTACTTTGTTTTGGTAGCCTTTGGAAACAATATATGTGTCTACATAGTATACCACTACCTTATACCTCGTTTTTATTGTCCTTATTGCTATTGCTTGTTCACCTCCTGCCACTGGCTCCCCGCCTTCGAGAAGGCAAACACCAAATGAGTAGGGATCTTTTTGGTCTGTCATCTAAAAGAGTTCCTAGTACACACTAGATATTTAGTAGATACATGTTAATTAAAATAAACCTAATATATATTTCTTCATCATTTAATTTAGTTGCTCTTCGTGCTTTCGCCAGCTTTTTTTTTTTTTAATCTAGTGTTTTATTATTCACAGTAATAGGCAATATAGGTGGCAGGAATAATTTTTATTTTTTTGAGACAGGGTCTTGTTTTGCTCCCCAGGCTGGAGTACGGCAGCATGATTATAGCTCACTGCAGCCTCTAACTCCTGAGCTCAAACAATCTTTCCGCCTAAGTTTCCTGAGCAGCTAGTACTACAGATATGCACCACCACACCCAACTAACTTTTAAAATTTCTGTAGAGACAAGGTCTCCCTATGTTGCCCAGGCTAGTCTTGAACTCCTGGGCTCAAGCAATTCTCCCATCTTGGCCTCCTAAAATGCTGGGATTACAGGCGTGAGCCACCATCTCCAGTCAGGAATAGTTTAAATAACCACAAAACCCAATTTAACATCTCTTCCTGAATTAAATATTTCTACATAGTTGCAGAAAAGTAATGAGGTTGACTGTTTATAATTTCATCTCATTTCCCCTAGCCATGCTTCTGTGCAGATGCTATTGAATGAGTAATCAAGTCAGACACCAGGAAAGAATAGGAAAAAGGTTAGATAATCAGCCTTTGAACAATGGAGAGTTGAATGAACATAAATTGTTTAACTCACTAAGCAAATGTCTATAAAATAATCATTATTTATAATAGTCTTCTAAAACCATTAATCCCAATCTTACCGACCTGTCCACCAACCCATACAAAATTCTCAACTTTCAATTGTTAAGAACATTCAGTTATTTCTATGTAGGAAAGATAAATTGAGTTCAATAGTTAAAGAGCCCCAAATTAGTTTATCCAGCTTAACTAAACTCATCTATCAACAGCCATAAGACCTGTGACGTTTGACAGCTACTGTACATTTGCTAATGTAAGTTTTTCTAACAGGACAAAACATCTTCCTATGCATTTGTATTAGCCCTTATCAGTAAGATTTTTCTCCCTCCAGACACTAACTTCAAACCTTGAAATTAATTGTGCTAATGAAAGTGCAAATGCTAATTGCTTTTAAACAAGAGGTCAGTCTTCAGATTACTCCCCTTCTTCTTTTTTGTGCATGGTGAGACCGAGGGAGGAAAAAGCAAACCTCCCTTCCAAAAGCAAACCTTGATTAACGTAGTTCTACTGTGTCAGAGTGCAGAGAAAAGGGATGATATTAGTGAGAGACAATCTTACTAGAAAGAAAAAAGTAGAATCTCTTAGAATAAAAAGGAAAAAGAAAAAAAGGAGAAAACAGAAAAGCAAAAGTGAACAGAGGTTTTTCACCTTTTCCATCTGCTATAATATAAAAACTGGTAAAAACACTCATATAGCACTAGAAGAATTAGAGGGAAGTTAAAAGCAGACAGGGCTTGTAACCACATTTATATTTGAAAGTCTAAAAAAGGACTGAGAAGCAGGGTGCTGTTGTGCCAACGTGGAGTGGACACAAGAGTCGACATGGCAGCTTATCACAACTGAACAGAGAGAAGGCCCGAGTAAGCCCAGGTTGCCTCAATTCTATGTGTGAGGTAGAGTTTCATAAGTTCCTGTGGAGTTCCACTGATGAACGTAAAGTTCTCCAATAGCTTCCAGGTTTAGCAAGAGGCAATGTCATTGACTGCATAGCAAGACTCCACAGAGTAGACAGCCTTAGCTTGGAACAAAACAGAGGATATGGCTGACACTCAAGCAATGACAGTTTAAGTCAATGAGAGTATCAGTCCTACCATGTCAGCAGGGGCTGGAGATTCTGGAGCTGGATTCTCAGGCCTTCACCTTGTTGAGAACATACCATACACTGGTACAGTAGAGCCTGATGTAACACAGAGACAGGTCAAGATTATTATGCCTCAACTGGAGTTCAGCAGGAACCAGCAGAGGATATTTTGTGGACCAGCACTATTTTCTCCATGGCAAGAAATCACATTAGCTTCCTGTGTGTGTGGACATCATCTAGGGAAGGAGGGCATAAACAATGCCCCCATAGGGATTTTGGGTTTTTAGTTGATTAAATACTTACCAGCATGGCTTATTACTTGCAAACTTAAAGGTTTTGTTTGTTTTGTTTCATTGTTTCTCTTAGTTAAGAACAGGGAATGCTTAAATCAGCTATAGGAACTGCAGACGTCAATGTTATTATGCACATCTGAATCATATATGCAAACACTCTATTTTTTTTTGGAGACTTAGTTCTTTAAAAGACTGGCTAAAATAAAGTTTCAACAATTCAAAAGGCTGACCTCAATTTAATAAGAAAGCATATGAGACTACAGTATTGAAATAATATAAAATATATTAATCATTCTATATGTTGGCCAAAAACATAATTATCTGTACACATTTAAAATATTCTTTAAAATTATTTAATAGCTGGAAACACAGATACCATTTAGACTTCATATTTTAGAATAGAAAAGATATATATGAAAACAACTTTTATTGGTAGTGTTCAATGTTGTATAATGAGTCTGGAAAGGAATTCAAATTCTTTATTTGGTAAATTACTTGTGTATTACTAGGACAGTGAAGAGAAATTGACAATTTGAGCAACTCTCAACAGGCAATAGCATTTTCCTGTAGGATTTCCAAAACTGTAGTTAATGTTTATATTCATAATTTGGGCAGACATCTGTCATTTACTTATGATTTTCCAGGCATACTAACTTTTTTTCTGTACTCTCAAACTGAACATTAAGAAGCCTGTGGAGTAGAAACGAATATAGATAGCTGGTAGATATTCTTCAAGTTTGAAATGAAAAATTCCTCAAGGAATTTTTTTCCTATTATATTTTTGGACAAAAATACTGGTTAGATATAACTTTTAGTTTCAACAAAATATAAAATTCACTTGTTTATAAGATAGGATGGAAGTGAAAGGTAATACAACTACTTTCTAAAATGAAATTATACATTAGATTGACACTGGCTGCACAACTAAGTAAATTAATCCTATGACAACACATAAAATTATCTTCCATATATTATGAACTGATATTCAAATCCAGAATTCTTTCACATAAATTAAATTCCATATTAGCAGAATTTATATTTATTATACATAAATAGTTATTATAAATATACTTTATATGACATCAACATTTGTTCTTTACTTGATAAGCAGTGAGAATTATTACAAATGAAGACAGTGTATGAGGGACATTAAATCAGCTTTAATCCCATTATTAAGAAATCCGTATAGAATTGGATTAAGACAACAGGACATCATGCCCAACAAATGACAAATGCAATACACCAACTTGAAATGCCTATTTGAAATAAGATTGTCATTGAAATCAGTTACCACATGGAAAAGGTGTAGTGGCATCCAACTAACAGCAAATACTAATATCAGGATGGTCAGTCTGTAGAAAACACTTCGAGATCTCTTTTTTATTCTTGTAACAGAACGTTTTACTCTCAGTTCATGAACATCTGAATTATCTTCAGGTTTTATCTCAAAGCAAGTGGGGACCCTTGGTAAGAACTTACTGGATGAAGAGAGCTGACTTCTTACAGAGCCAAAGTTTTCTGGAAGTATTCTGGAGTGGGTCTCTTGAGAAGGTCTTTCTGGAGCAGGTAACACACATGCTGTCTTCTTGCTATATCTTCTTCTGTGTTTTTTGATGAATGAATAACTCCATTTGTGGCTGCCAGCGAGTTTCACCTGAGGCCCACCCTTTTTGGATGGATGAAGAGTTAAGTTGATCATCTCATTTTCTTCAAGTCTGTTTTCCTTGTTGGACAATCCACAGCTTATACTTCTGCAGACACTGGTATGACTTACAGTAAGACAAACTAAGGGCAGAATATACTGAACTAGCAATAAAGAGATAGTAAAGGCAATTCTGTATGAATCAGATGGCCAGGACTCAACACATAAATACCTGCTGCTCAGCAACGCTGAACCAAATGTTTCCTGAAGTTCCACAAGACTGTGAAACACTGGAAGGGGAGAACAAATCGCAAAACCTAGTGTCCAGACGGTAGCTATCAGAAAGTAGCCATGGTTTGCTGTTAAATTATTAGATATAGGATGTTTTATCATATGATACCTGACAATGGCAATTGATATTAAAATTAAAGTTGAAACCAAAACTGACACACATTGAAGAAAAGGCATAATATGACACATGACTTTGCCAAACATCCACTGATCTAGCAAGACAGAGGTCAGCGTGAAAGGTGAGCAAAACAGCACAACCAAGATATCAGAAAAGGCCAGATTTCCTATGAGGAAGTTCACCGTAGTCTTCTGATTACGCTTTTTCATGAGAGCCATTAAAATAAGTAGATTCCCCATAAAGCCAAGAAGACTTACAAATGTATAGAGCCCAATCAGAAAATACTGTAAGTCATCTACACTGCTTTTATAGTCATCCCAGACTGGGAAATCAGAATTCCGAGTGGCAGCAGTATTATTCTCTGTGGCAAGTGTCTTGTTATAATACTTGTTGAGCTCTAAATCCATATTATAGTCCTGCCTGGAATAAAAAGACGTTTGTTAGAAATCTAAAAAAAAAAAAAAATACATGACTCCTCAATTAATCTATTCATAGGGAAACTAAATTTTACGATAAGCTCCCATGACCTTATTAATCTCCTAAGAAAGTTTATGAAATCTTTAACTGATTCCAAGTGCAGGGCAAGTATCAGCCAATAATGATTACAGTAAGTTTAATTTTATCAATACTTCTAAGAAGTATTAACTTGTGCTAAGGTAGTAGATTGTATTTTTAAAATTTATGTAGTAAATAATGTAAGGAAAGAAAAAGGCAAATGTAGACAAGAACTTCAAGATACATAATTTTCACTTGCTCATTAATATTATTCTCCAAGTCAAGATACCTTGTGCATAGTTTAGTCACATAATCTTACCTTAAAAATTCCTTTCATTTCTATCCCAAGCTAGGCCAAACTTAAAAGTCACCTGTCCTGGTCAACTCAACTGCACATGACCTCCTCTTCAGAACTCCTGTTACATTCTGTCTGCAGTTGTCTAATGCTGCGTATCGCAATCTGCTTTCATGGTATCATAATGCCTACCAGCCTACCTTGTTGATTTCCAAGCAATGGCAAAGCAGAAACTATCTCTTACTCACTTTGGTTTCCATCCCAATACATGGCATAGTAACTTTAGCACTGCAGGTATTAAATAAGTGTTTATGAGAGAATAAAAGATTCAAACAAATCTCTAGAAATAAATATCACCTAGTTCACACGATGTTAAAATTTAAACTGCTTGAGAATAGTATCACTAGCTCATGACCTAGATGCATATAGTAGGCACTCATTAAATGTGTTTATCAAGCTGTACTGTTTACTGTGTGAACACAATGCTGGATGATGAAATCTTTCTGTGACCAATCCTCAGTCCTTTGAGATATACCAGATTATCTCTGATTAGGACAACCACTGATGAACTAGTAGTGTTGTAAGTGTTTTTTTTTTTAAAACAAACAAACAAATTTCACCTGTTTATGAATTTTAAAATTGTGTATAGATTTTGGCTTACAAATAAATTAATGAATTCATTGTTTAAGGCAAACATTATACCTTCAATGTAAATGTAGAAGTGACATTAATATAACTCCCCATAATAAGTTTTTTTCATTTCATATAAAATTAATGTCATACCTCAATGGCATTAAGTATTTACCTCTACTTATTATATTTTTGATGGCACTGCCTGATGAAGCACTAAATTGCCTAAAACATACCAATAAAAGGCAAAAAGACCCCCTCCTCTGCTTTTAAAAAAAGCACTTTCATTTTTAAAAAGCTTTTTATTTTTCTTAGAAACAGGGTCTCATTCTGTTGCCAAGGCTGGAGTGCAGTAGTGCAACCATAGCTCATTGTAACCTTGAACTCCTGGGCTCAAGCAATCCTCTCATCTCTGCCCCCCAAGCAGCTGGGATTACAGGCACTTACACTACAAATGGCTAATCTTTCTATTTTTTGTAGAAATGGGGTCTTGCTATGTTGTCCAAGCTGGTCTCAACTATTGGCCTCAAGTAATCCTCCCACCTTGGCCTCCGAAAGTGTTGGGATTATAGACATGAGCCACTGTGCTCTGCCACTTTCCTCTTTTTTTTTTTTAAACAAGAATTTCCTACAGAAAACAAACCAGCAAGAAAATTAATTCCAATAAACATATTTTCATAGAGACTGTGATATATATGTATTTAGAAAAGCACTTTTGTTACCTATCAATGTATGCTTATCTACTTATTTCTAGATCCATAATTGAATAATTATACTAAAACTACAAAAAAATTAACTCTATTTAAATTAATAGTAAAGACTGTTATCTTTAATTTATGAGAGACCTACAGGTTCTGGTTCAATAAATTTCTAAACAGCAAACACTATTGTGTACATACATTCATTACAAATAAGTTTAACTTCAGTTCTTTACATAGTAAGTTTCCAACAGGATGACAGAATCCTTGTTGTACTATGAGAAAAGTTACAAGATTTTCACAACTTCTACAAGTGATTTTATGTTGCCCAAATTACTTTCTGGAATCTAACTACATCTTTTTGAAGGATAAGTTAATTCAAAGACTCAGGATTGTATTTATTCATTCTTAGACCCTAGCCAACAATATACGTTGATATTGCCTCAATGAAAAAGACTACCTGATACAAAAGTGACTCACATGACCTACTGAATCGTATTATTCATCATATTCCCAGTCAATAGCCTCTCACCTACTACTGTGGATAGGTCAGCAAGCTTCTAATCAAAACAGTTTTGACTGGTGTTTTTGCCTAATTTCCTGAGTTCTGATGACCCTCTGGCTCAATTCAGCTTATTCATGATCCTATTTATACTCATAATGTGTACAGGCTGTCTGTAACAGCAATCCTACTTCGTTGTTCTTCTCTTTACTTACTTTCTTGAGTCAATCCTTTTCTTCTAACTTTGTGGCAGGTCAGTTGTTACTGATGACCTTTCCTTGTGTTACCTGAGGAAGAATAAGAGAGAAATTGGATAGCCCCTTCTACAATGGCTTTGTGCTTTTTTGAAACATGTAACTGTGGATGATACTTATTCAGTGTAAAATTGCTGTCCAAAATTTTTTTAAAGAAAGAGAAGATGCAGCACAATTTGTGGTAATAGAAACAATGTGGTTTTGAGTTTAAAATTCAGATTTTCTCCAATCCATGTGGTTAGAACTCTCTATTAGATTCTAATATAGATAAAAGTCTTAATTAGTTTTATTCTAGCAACGATGTTTAACAGAGCATATTACACACAGTGGATGCTAAGTAAATATTCGTTACCAATCATTTTAGAAAAGCAGTTTAGTTTCCCTGGCTTTAAAATAACAGAAATGAATCATCCTGGCAATGTGGGATAATTCAGGATACAGTATGACTATATATTTGTGTGTGCATATATATGTGTGTACATGTATGTTTACATATATATTTATAGGGGACCATTAAAACTATGAATGTTTTAAATGGTCCCAAAATGCAATGAGGAAGAGATACCTAGATAGACAATAAAGAGAGTATAGTGCTTTAAATTTTTCATTTCGATATGTTCATTGATAAAGGCTATCACACAAGCAGCATGAAACTAAAATTCCAAGATATATTTACAACATTTAAAAAAGTCAATGAAAAAAGAAGTACATCAGATTCCACAACTGTGCAGTCTGTTATTAAAACTTTTATTTTAAATATATGCACATAAAATATTGAACACATTAAGTCATAAAACCACATCTCCTTAGTAAGAAGATGAAAGAAATGCCATCCTGAGTATTCATTGGACGCTGGAGAAAAAACTGAGGATGTTTCTCTCATTCCTTAAAATATTTGAGAATTTTAAGAAAGTGAATAATTTATATATAATTTTAAAGGGTAGGCCCCTTTTATTAATGAGTAGCTAAGAATGATTAGTTGTTCCTTCTTTTATTCATTCAAGAAGTATTTATTGAACATATTATATTCTGGTAGGTGGTCTGCTCTGCTGTAAGCACAAAGATGACTAATGCAAGGTACTATGCAAAGAATATTCTATGATGGATTAATTCAAGTTCGCACTCTGAGTAACTGTAGATTGCTGAGCTTTAAAAAAGGCCCCAAATTGGATGATGAATTAATTAATAGATGAATGGGTTTCTCCTCACTGCCAGCAATATATTCTTTCACTATAGCATGGACACTTCTACTGTTGCTGAATATAATGAATATTTGATGTAGCTACTGATAGACTGATTAGCAAATTTAAAAAACTGTCTCAGCATTCATACAGTCATTCAAAATTCATTTATTCATTTCATTTTGGTGTGACTGTAGTCAACTTTCTCCTGCTCTCCTTCTAGTCCCACACCACACCATCTACCCCATAAACATACAAACACATAACGCCTAATATACAGTGTGCACGAAATGAACATTCGGTGATTCTTTGCTCCAATGAAGGAAGAATTTCTTCTTACAACTAAATGATGAATATTGCAAATGCTGGTGGTTGGATGGGGGGTGTGGACATGCAGGTTTTTTTTTTTTTTTTTGAAGTGCCTCCTGGTAGCCATGGGATAGTTTAAACATTAGGAAAAATTTAAGTTGAAAATCTAAGGTACAAGAATGCTCTTTAAATAAAAACACAAACAAACAAAAAAGCACGATTTCTTGCCTTAAAACTTACCTTTTCCCTTCCTTTTTCCTGAAAAATACAATGAGCAGACCTACAATGGAAATGCAAATACGTTTAATAACCCTCTACTTTTCAACAAGTGTTATTATAAGTGCTGTACATTTTTATGCAACATATTTTATCCATAATAAAAGTAATGATATATGTGAACCTTATTAGATTGCTATAGAAATTATAAAATATAACCAGAGAAAGAATATTTTAACATGGAATATTAATTGACAAGAAATCTGAAATCGACAGCATGAAACTTTTGTTGTATCTAATTACTATTTTTCCTTACTCTCTTTTATATTAGTTGTATATCCCACCATGGAAATTTCCATGCTGAAACACAGAATTTTAATCTCTGAGTAAAAAGTGTGAAAAATGAAAGTTCATTATTAAACTATGACAACTTATATACCATGTCTTCTTAAAGGTTTATTGGAATTTTCCTATAAGTTGTTCTATATCTGACGCCTAGACAAATGAAACCTTCTGAATAGATTGTAAGTATTTTAAGAGAGTAGTAGATAGTTCTTAAGAATAATAGGAGGAACTGCAGGGAATTTCAAAGTATATTAAAAGTCTGACTTGTACATTTAAATAAGGTTTCTTTGTTCGAGTAATTTCTTGCCTTATGAAAATACACATCATTCTTCTCACAAAGGATGCCAATCACACAAAAGAATAAAATATATGTAATTATTTTTCTGCTGCAATGATAAAATATCAACTATTGTCTATTTTGCTGTGATCGTGGAACAGGAGCATGATTCCATGTTCTCAAATATTCCCATGGTTTGTTCTTAAAGCCCGAATATGCCACAATTTGAACTGGAAAGATAAATACAGTTCTGCTCAGCTGACAAACACAGGCATGCACCACCCTCCCTTCCAAATTCTAACGGCAGAGTTTCTCTTCCTTGAGAAATCTGAAATCTAAAATTGCATTCGGACTGCAAAATTCTGCTGAAAGAGCCTTAGGCTATTTTCCACCGCTGATGGTAAAATCGTTTTGGCTTTGGTCCAACACAACGCCTCAGTTCCCTTAAAAGATTCATTAAAGGTCTGTGAACTTGGAAAAAAGAATTCCTGTTTCTGGAATTCGAGTTCTATGGATGTTTGTTATTGCTTGCATTTGTCGTGTGAAGCCACCTTGCAAATAGGAGCGTAAACCTGGGAGCGCAGCTGCCTGCAGGGCTCGGGTCAGTGCCGGACCGCTCGCGGCAGCTGGACGGCCTGAGTGGCGCCCCGCGGGCTGCGCCCCTGCCCTTGCCAGAGACCCGCTAGGGCCGAGCCCTGACCCAGTCACCCCTCGGGCTGCCGTTCCCAGCTCCGGACGCCTTCCTGGCTGCACCCAGGGCGCGTCCAGCCGGGGACAGCGCTCCGTCCATTCCCCGCCCCCTCCCCAGGAGGCTCCTCAGCGGATCCCCTACACTCTCCACCCGGGCTCGGCCCGCGCCTGCTCCACCCGGGTGAGTTGGAGACTGGAGGGACCTGCTCGGCATGAAGAATTCAGCCCAGTACCCTCTCCGCTGTCTCTTCACTCCTGACAATTGCCTGATCCGCCACCCTAATCCCCATTTTTCCAGCCGCGCTCCCTTCACCTTCCTTACCCCGCCCACTTGGGACCCCCAACAATGCCCAGGCACCAGAGACAGGGGTACGGGCTCCCAGGAACCTGTGCGGACTCGCAGAGCGCGCTGGGACCCGCCACGGCCCCTCGGTGCAGGCCTACCCGGCGCGGCAGGGGGTGACAAGTGAGGGGCGGAAGCCGGTACTTCGGGGCGCCCCGACCGATGCAGGCCCTGGGCTCCCGGGAGCGCTGCCCTGCGCGACTGCTCCTGTACCCCGCGGCGGCGGCAGCAGGAGCAGGACCTGGAGGCGACGGTGGGAAGAGAGGGCGGGGGTTTAACGGCGTCTCGAGAACACGTGACTGTTCCGGGGACCCCCGAGACCCCGCTCCAGGGCGCCTGCTCAGCGCCAGGCTCTTCCAAAGCCTGGGGCCGCGGGCGGGGGCATCTCAGCCCTGCGCCGTTGTTTGGGGGCCCTACGGAAAAGCGACAGGGCCCGGGGGATGTTGCCCCTTAGCCCTGGCCTCGGGTTCCCAGGCCGACCAAGTTAACTTGATGGGCAAATCGATTTTGCCGGTCCAGCCCCCAGCCCTGTGTAGCGAACTCCGAGAAGTCGTGGACTGGTGTGAGAGTGGCCGTGCCTCCAAGTGTTTAGGATTCCTGAGAGCAAGCTTCGAGTCTCAGGTTTTATCTTTGTTTGGGAAAAAAAGAAAAACAGTTCACAGCTCTTTCTTTGCACCTTTTTTAAAGTAAGGAAGCGTGGAGGTGGGGAGGTTGACATAATGTTCAGGAGTGGCAAGGGAGTCTGCAGGGATGCGGAATCGAAGGGAAGTGTCCCCACTCCCAGGAGTGGCAGCTGTGGGTGTGGGCAAGCGGCGGGAGCAGGGGAGTGAGACTAAAATGAAATCAACGCTTCTCAAGACTATATTCAATAGCAAAGAGAAGACGAAGGGCTAAAAACGAGTTGTCATAGGTTAAAAAAAAAAAAAAAAAAAAAAAGACTGGAAAAAAGCCCACACGAAGAAGAAAAAAAAAACCCTGTCCTCCTGTTCCTTCTCAACATGATTTCCAGCCCTAATGTTTCCAAATCTGTATTGCGCAGGTTTGCTTTATTTTTAGCTAATCATTAGTTGGCAGGTACTTTAGGCTTGCGTTCGTGTGTGTGTGCGTGTGCGTGTGTGTGTAAGAGAGAGACAGAGAGAAAGAGAAGAAAGGAGACAGAGATTGGGGAGAGGTCCGTGTGTCTTTGGACACAGCTGTACCATGAGAAAGGGTGTAGTTATTGTACACTTTAATACTGAGAACTGTTATGTAACAGACAGCATCTCCTGCTGAGTAGAGTCCTGTGGGACTAGCTTTCTATAAACTGAACAGAACTCTACCCCTTGGGAGCAATATGACTTGTAATTCTAACATCTGGGACAGCCATTACTGTTACACAAGAGGTCAAAGAAAATTTCTTGTGCGCCTTTTCTGCTGAATTTTAGCATTCAATACTCAGGGGATCTGTATAGACTGCCATTTCATCAGTCGAAGAGTCGTCCAAGAGCTTTTAAAGAACTCAAGTAAACATCATTGCTGTTATATTCTTATATGTATTATTTCTGAAATATTAGTATATTCTCCCCGAAAGCCTGACAGAATAGGCAGTGTGCGCACGCGACTGGGATTCTGCAGAAGGGAGCAGAAGATGAAAGTGTCAAGAAGGGATGACCTTGAGAAAACAAAGCTTGTTTTTTAGACTTTTCTTAGCTCTACCATCTCTACAGTTAATGCAATACACATTGCCACATAAATTTCTATCCTTCCATCTCTTACAGTCATAACATGTACACTTCACACATTGTCGGCCGGGCATGGTGGCTCACGCCTGTAATCCCAGCACTTTGGGAGGCCGAGGCAGGCAGATCACCTGAGGTAGAAGTTCAAGACTAGCCCGACCAATATGGTGAAACCCCGTCTCTACTAAAAATACAAAATCAGGCGGGCATAGTGGTGGGCGCCTGTAATCCCAGCTACCTGGGAGGCTGAGGCAGGAGAATCACTTAAACTCGGAAGGCGGAGGATGGAGTTAGCCGAGATTGCCCATTGCACTCCAGCCTGGGCCACAGAGTGAGACTACATCTTTTTAAAAAGTACAAATACACATTGTCCTTAAAACAACTTCCAAGTGAACCCCATTGTGACTGTCTTTCAAAACACTAGACTATGCCACAGGCTTTTGCATATTAAAAGTATAAAACAAATCTTATTTTTTTTCTTTTCTGCACCCTTGTTTTCTATTTTGATGATGTGAACCTTTAGGTTGAAGTCACTGTTTAATTAGAGTATTGAAAATAAAAGGCCATGTGCCATTGATACAAAGATTCTAACTAACCTGACCATATTCCCTTCCCACTGCACCCACAAACAAACAAGTTTCAAAAGTGGGAGTCGGCATTTCTTCTTTAAATACACATGACACTACACAGTATTAAGGACACATGTAATGGACAAGTTATTAAGAATGTTTTTGTTTTGAGAAAATTATCAACGTACAAATTTAAGCAATATTCTACATAAAGAGGAAGATATGGAGATAAGCGTGCTTCTACCTTGAAATTTCCCAGGAAGAATTCAAGACTGATCATCATTACTTCTTCGTAGAACATAATAATTTAATTTTTATTGTATGGAGTAACATGTAAGCAGAGGGGAATACCAGAACAGAAATAGTAACGTTCACCTCTGTTTTATGTATTTTTCCTACTCATTGTTTATAAAATGCTCATTTGGGAAATTAAGTTGGATTTTACGCATGTTACAAAACTGAACTGGTTATCTCCCTGTTATTACGGTTCATTATCAGTTATGAAAGGTAAAAGTTAAAGGCCACTTGGGACTCCTAAGACTAATTATTGAACAATAAAACAGTCACCCAACAATTCCTGGGGTAAGATTTTGCTGAGGAACATGACTGGTTTTGTCAAAGCTACTGTCAACATTTTAATAAACAGCTACCATTTGTGGTGAGCAAGTTCTAAAGTGCTTTTGTATAATCGCAAATGATATTTGATTTTAATGTATTAGTTATAGAGGTAGTAGGGGTAAATAAACTAGAGAAAAAAAGTATTATTTTACTTTATGCATTTATTTCTCTGACAACTTTGTTGTATTCCTTAAGAGTAAATGTTTCTTCATTCACCTTTTCTATCATGGTAAATTTAAGTCCTTAATACATAAAAGATGTGTTACCAAAAATATTTTTTGATGCTCTATGCTGTAATTTCTTTGGAATAGTAATAATTTGTCATGCAAATAAATATTTAGGATTTAAAATGAGGAGCTAACTTATTGTGAGATACATGATTCTTCTTCTTCTTTCTTTCTTTTTTTTTTTTCAGAGAACAAAAGCTATTGTAAAAAAGGTTAGCCCAAAGTATTGTGTACATAGAGTCAATTTCCCAGGCAACTCAATGGTACTTGTGAGGTCCTATGGAGGCACCATTAACATTTTATTGACTTCTGATAAACGCTGTGCTCCTTAAGCAACACTTTATTTATCCTTTTGATGCTCTAATGATTTGACCGTAAAGCAGTGTCTGATTTGCAGAAAGAATACACAATTCTTTTTAAGAGTAAATATCTATGTTAAAAATACACACAGATGTAGATGTGATATGGATGTATTTTATATGTTCATACATTAGATACATATTTTATAATAGACACTTATCAGAATACCTGAGTTGTAGCCAGGCTTAATCTCAAATCAATGGTGTGGCTTTAGACAAGGCATTTGATTTTTCAGTCTTCACTTTCTTTGTCTGCAAAATGAAATATTTGAATCTGAGATCTGGAGTCCCTTTGAGACCTGACTACTTATGGCTTTATGCCATTAATGAGCATGTATTACAGACATATGTGAGGAAAAACCATCTTTTTATATCTCTAGAAAAATTTGATGGCCATAGACAATGTTTATTTTCCCTCTATGTTAAAATTTACAAAGAAAATACTGTTGCTAAATTTTCCATTATTACTGGCACATTCTTTTTCCTGCAGCTAGTAATTATATTTTATTTATTCATTTCAAAAAGTTATGTCTGCTTACATATCAATACTTCATTCTTTAACTATATTATTTTTAAGTATTGTAGCACAAATATATATACAAGAAGACGGCATGGATTCCTTTGACAATATAACATTTTATTATGTGAATCCATATATAGTCCATATAATTATTTCCTTCTGTAGTTCAAAACTTGTCTAAGAAAAGTATCCCCTAATATTTTTAAAAAGTGTCCATTTTCTATCTATTTTTGTAGTTAATATTTTAAATCTAGTTATAAGTCTAAATACAGCTTTACTATATTTATGTGCAAATAGAAGGAAACAGTTTATTTATTGATTTTTGGTATGTTGGTTTGTTTTAGTCTTTAAAAAGAATGTCTACAGAACTGTTCAAAGCATAAGCCCAGGATCAAAAGTTGAATGATATGCTCCTCAAAAATGTATGTTACCATATTCTTAGTTTTATCATTCTCACAGGTAATTCAGCTATTAACATATGTTATTGAACAGGTAGAAAAATATGAGACCTTTCCTCAAGTAGATATTACAAGCATTTTCAAAGGAAATAGGATCCATATTCAGGTTTATACCTAATAGAGGATGTAGAGCTAACACATAAGAATATCCAAAAATATGAGGCGGATCATCAGAAGGAGAGTATTAGTAAGCAAACTATGCATAAAATGTATATACATAAAGTAGCAATCATCCATCATAGCTGCAAATGCTGAAGACACTTTTTTAATGTTTGAGATGAACAAATGGGCTTGATTTGTGATATTCAAAATTTTTGTAGTCCTACCCTATTCCTAGTTTTTCAGTCTTTCAACAAAACTTGTTTAGCATCTTATGATGTGTCAAATACCCTTCTAAGCTCCTAAGTTTAAGAGATGAAAAAAAAAATAGTCACTACCAATAAGAGATCAGAGTATAGTTGTAGATATGTGCAATTACATAATTAATGGCAATACAATGTGATAAGTCTGCAGCTGAAATAAGCTCTAGGTTTATTTATTCATATTCCCAGGTAATTCATTCCTAAAAATAAACTAGGGATATAACAGAGGGTTTTATAGCTGAGAAGACACTTGAACTGAAATGTGAAGGGTTGGTAAGAGTTAAACAGGCAGATGGAGAGGGGATGGAGAGGTGAGAAGTGTTGTAATAGCATGAAGGTGAGAGAGTGTGTGTCATTCAGAATCATGCAAATGGTTCCGTATGACTGCAGTCTATGGGGTAAGGGATCATACTGAAAC